CAAGGGTTTCAAGAAAAATGCTAAAGAGACAGAAGTCCGTGCTTATAAATCACAGTCATAGAAAATAGTTTATTGTTACTTTGAAGAAGCGCCTCTATCTAAAACTGGTGTCGTCTTGATCACATCAGTCAAAGATAATTTACATTGTTAGAATACACTAGTTTTTGTATCACTAGCTCTTTATCTCACATCATTAAAATACTATGTAGGTATTTTTTTTTAACTCGCAGACATAAGCGTTCAGGCTAATTCTTCATGCCAACCGGATCAGATTACAATCAAAGATCCAAAAACTGGTTCGATTCAGTGCCAGAACTGTTTAAAATGTCCACCTACCGAGGGTCTCTCAGTTAATTGCGGAGACGTAATACCTCCTTCAACACCTGTGCAGTGCAAGCCATGTGTGCTGGGAGAGACATATTCTGCTTCCCTCAAGGCCGGAGCTTGTGAGGACTGTGGAAATTGCGGTGAGTACCGCGAAACTACGAAAGCCTGTACGTTAACTTCCAAGGCCGTGTGTGGAAGGTGTAAGCCTGGCGCGTATGCCGAAGGCATGCTGGGGCTGTGTAAGCCCTGCTCCCCGTGCTGTAATGATGGTAAAGATATCATTATACCTGAGTGTCAAGTTCCAGGTGTACTAACAGGCATGCAGTGCAGCTACTTACGATCTAACAAGTGCAGTGCATTGATGACATCAAGTATTAGCACGGCGCCGTCAACCCTTCAGCCAGATCAGTCCACGACCCAATGGTGGCCATCCTCTTCTACAACGAGCACCAAAGTAATCTCTTCTTCAAGTGAGCCGACCGTAAACCTTATTGGAGAGGCTTCATCAAATATGCGCATCATAACTGGTTCTATTGTGGGCGGCTTCTTAGTTGTCCTCACGATTCTTTTCATTGCGTGCTGCAAAGTTATGCGTAAACGCCGGAAGGCCTTGTCGATGAGGGTTGGTTTAGCTACAGTGGAAGACGGAGCTGGTCAGACGCAAAATCAAGAACAAAGAAATAACCAAGAAGATGAGCGCGTCAATCGGGAACAAACAGATGATAGAGTCTTTCTGCCAAACGAAGATCTGTATGAAGAGAGCCCACTTCCACATCCTACTCAAGAGGAAGCTGGTTATAGGAGTCCGGGAAAAAAAGGAGTGCAGGAGACCATGTCTCCTCTATCAGGCCAGAACAGTTTAGGTAAAAGTATGACTGGTCATGACTAAATCTTTTTTTGATTTCCTTTGTTAAGAACAAATTGCAAACCACCCTTATGTTGATTACTGGTCATACACCTAATTACTCTCACACAATGGTACGGACCGCTGGAAAGGGGGAGGGGGGGGGGGGGGGGGAAGCAAAAGTTTGCCTAATAAGGATGTCGCAAGGGAGATCCGAGAAACAGCAAAATCTAAGAGTATGAGGATTATTGACCCCAGAATTGACTATTAAAGTTACTGTTTCTTCTAAGTTAAATCACAAATACCACACAATTTACTAATCAAAGGCTTTCAAAATTCATTCTTTGAAATCATTTCAAAAACATATAAAACCGTTTTGAAGGGGTTTTTGAAGGCTGATTCAAACTTTTTAAACATAATTTCAATTTCATAATCTGATGCATCTTTTGATATTACTTTAGTTTCAGATTCTAAACTTGACGGGTCTGTGGTGAAGCAGTGTACAAAATCGTCTAAAAAGCAAGTACACGGTGCCCCCAATGTTGTCACCAAGACGACCACTGTTACGATGATCAAGGTCACTGATGAGAAGGTCACTACGGTTTGACGACAGCCATCAGACTCTATAAATTATCTACTAACCTGATAATTTTTGCCTTGTAATTAATTTTTTGTTACAGTGACAGAGATATCGAGACATTTTCGCTACTTAATTTGTTTCTAATCGTCTTAAAACATCTGCAAGCCCCGATTCATTCTCGTTCTAATAAGATTCGCTGTTCTCTTGATTAAGATTGACCACACTTCCGTAAGATCATCAACTTTTAGCATTTTCTCACGGTAACAAGAGACTGATGAGTAATTTTGGTGGTGCTGTAGAGGCAAGAGAATGAATGTAAGCAAATCTTTATAAGAGAGAACTTAAAAGAACGATCATTTTTGATCGCTTAGAGGGTGTATCGGAGGATTTCAGTTGTGTCGCGATAAAATTTACCTGATCTTCTCATA